GGACAGTATCATCTGCGAATAACCTTGTTATACAGTCAAGATCGCCAGCCAAATCATCAATGTATATCAAAAATAGTAGAGGCCCCAAGACAGAGCCTTGAGGGAGTCCACGATTTATCTTTGCAGGTTTAGAAGTCTGACCGTTGACGACTGTAATGATCGATCTGTCAGATAAATAACTGTGAAACCACTGTAACAAGGCACCTCGAACTCCTTTTTTTCCAACTTGTACAGCAAAGCAGAATGCCAAACTTTATCGAAAGCCTTGCTGAAGTCTAAGTAAACAGCAATACAATCATCACCGTTTTCAAGATCCCGATAAATATTATGTACAAATTCGATTAATTGGTACCAAGTCACAGTACCAACACCGGTCACAGTACCAAGTTTCTCCAGTTATGGAGTTTATTCTGAGAGTTAGACACTGCACAATACTCTATATTAGGACGCAAAGACATATTGAAGCCTGTTGATGGAAGGGGAAGATGAGATGTGACAGTGAGTGGAAAAACAACCTTTATCTGACTGTCGTGCTTAGGTGACTGACCGTTTGGTCATGTTGTTTAGAGCGCAGGAAGATCCCTGCTTTTAGCATTCTCTACTTAACATCTCTTGCACTGCCTTACGCTAGCTCAACTTATCTTATCTTACGTACCTTACACTAACTCCTCTTCTCTTGCTCTACCCTACCTTAGCTTACTTAAGGCTATCGTGTATGTCGTGAGTTTCAGTTAAAGTGAAGCTTTTCTACTTCACAGAAGAGAATTTTTCGCACTCTCGTGGTCGCGGTGATTGAGTAGGTGCGGATGTTCTTCTCGTGTAATGATTCCTGATGATAGTAATGTATCTAGAAAAGGGTCCAGGATTTTGTCTATTCCCCTGCAAACTTTGTCTAATACTTACCAACTGGATAAATGATCAAATACTTGGGACTGGTCAATTACCTGAGTTAAAAAGTAAATACAGCAAATATTTGAAAACAAATGAAAAGGTTAATAACTCGCTTTGAAACTTACTGCGCTCAAAGCTTCCACGTTAATGTATTGATACATTGTTGAGTTTAACGAATTAAAACCCCAAAGTAACACATCTGGGAGAATTAGATTATAAACTGTTTGATAACAGTTCACTATTTCAGTGAATGAAGCCACATATCACGCTGTTCTAGAGTTCTAAAAAAGTAAACAGATAGAATGAAAGCTGTAGAAACAATGAAAAAAATGAAATCTATAATTCGATTCTTTGCTAGTTTCTAATAAATTTCAATATATGATTCGAAGGAGCATGAGACACTGGAGAAAGGCAGAGATTTCCTATAAAATAGCGCCCATTCCCGAGTTGCTCACAGTATTTTTTACGGTTATTATGTTAAAAGATTAGTCAGCAATAAAATACGGTAAATTTTCCGTTCCTGGCACTTAAATATACTTTTGAATCTGTTATTGGGGCCTTCTACTTCTCTTTATTATGTGATACAGGAACAAAACATAGCGAACAGAGTAAAACTTGAGACGGATTTGAACTCAAACAGTCCAGTTCTATTACGACATTGACAGTGAGAAACAGCAAACTATCAAATAAAAGGCGAAACGAAGTCATTCAGAAGAAAACTATTGGTGTGTAGTCTGTGGACATGAATTAATGAGAGAAGAACCAAGTAAAAACGAGTAGGTTTAGATATTTTTCTCTACAAACTGTTTATCAAATAACATGGCGACACACTTATTAATATTTAGTGGCAGAGACCACTGCTTAGACCAAAGATTGATTTTGTCCAAATCAGCGTTCATAGTACAGACAGCCCTCTCTAAGTCATCCGCGTCACTCTACAAACTGTTTTTTGTTAACATGCACGCAGTAAAACACGAACTTAGCCTTAAAATTTGCCACATTGTACAGGCAGCTAAGAAAAAGCAGCTGGAAAAAGTATCACTGGCGTCTTAACTAAAACAGAGTGTTTCAGATTTTTTTTAAATCCATAGTGCCACTGGTAAGGTGTAATCAGTTCAACGGATATCATGCTTTCAAATCGAAAAACAATCTTCTACTTGTTTAAGCATTTCGACCGATTTTATCTCAGGTTTAGGATAGTTCGTCGATGGAACAATTATTGCATTGTTTTTCTCCAACATATTTTCTTTTTTTAATAAATAAAATGAAAATAAATAGGGAGAGACGAGAGTGAGAAAAAGAGATGCATACTGAGATCATCACACTCCTTAACAGAAAGGCGGGTAAAGCCTGGTTGTCTCTGGACGTCCTTAACGGAATATCCCTTATCTGTGTTCATGTATGGGCAAGCGCGGCAACACCCTTGTAACTCAAGAACCACTTTTGATTTTGTATGATCATAGCTCTTACCGAATGCCGGTCACTCACCAAGTTTGGGCCTCTTTTACTGGGTGGTTGGTGAGATATAAGCGATTTATTTCTCTTCTTTAAAATATCTATAGTTCCTGATCTAAGAGAGATGAAAACTTTGTCTTTTTACTGAACTGTACCCACGACTCTACTCTACCTACTACATGAATTCAACTGCTTTTCTTTCAACATCAGTTGATTTTGGTAAAAACCTGGCATCGTACTCGTCCTCCTTTCCTCCTAAATAAAATTTTCTCCTCCTTTTTGGTCAAAGCTGACTAGTTTTCCAATCGTGTTTAATCAAAGAGCCTTCTTAATTTCTTAGTTTTCATGCGTTGCTTTTTATATTTGCAACGAACATAGTACCGTCTGTTCTTGTAGTGATAGTTACAATGTGACCTCGATCCTTATTCCACTATAAAGATTTTTGTGGTCAATAGAAATTTCTTATCATTGCATGGTGAGTCATCAGTAGTTCTCTATTTGGTATGTGCATTTTTCCCTTTTCTAGATCTCAGTTATCTATCTTTCTATCATCATCTGTCGTGTCATCAATAATTCTCTTAATTTGTAAATCTGTTTGCTTCCATTTTCAATTTCAATTGTGCAACTAGTGTTTTTAACTTAGGATTTACATCCTCCTTTTCTGGTGGCGTTTCTCCTTTCAAGATTTTGCGATTCCTCCTTAATTCCTCTTTTTTAGAAATAGCTCAGTACCAAGCCTGTAGTTTCGGCCAGGATTCGTTCGATCTCTATTGTCGACGTTACACAAAACATGCCTTTGTATTTCTGGCACAGATAACTTATGTCTCATCATTTTTACCATTTAGAACTGGAATTAAAATATGATGATACATCAAAAGAAAGTGATATAAATGATTTAGCTGCAACAGCAATATGTACTGAAAAATTTGGATTATTTAGTAAAATATGTAAACTTGGTGAATGTTGTTGTATTGAAAATGTATCATATTCGACATTATCACAATGTGGTGCGTATCAAAAATATTCATAAGATAAAAAATTAAGAATATAATTTTATTAATAATAGATCAAATGATTTTGTGATTTTTTATTTAGTTTCCTATTTGAATAAAAACCAAAACTCAAAACCTGATAAATGTCCATCATACAGCAACAACACCAATGATAATCAATGTCAATGTATAAGCAGTTATCTTACGTCGAATAATAAAAAAACTTGTGGTAAGAAATAAACAGATATTGACATAAACGCGTGACAGAATTACATTTTTTCAACTTTTGGACTCTGTTTCTCCTCAAATACTGAACAAAAGGTGACGAAATTTTTATCAGAGATGTGCGATAGAATGCTTAGTTTGTGATAAAAAATTAGAATGAATCAGTCAGGTAGAACGATTTTTATGAGTAAAATAGATGTTGTGACGGAATTACATCTATTAGCCTTTTTTTTTCTGGTGCTCTACGAACTTTGAAAAATGCTCGTTCGAACTAGTGTGGAATGACTTTTTGCAGGCATCTCAAGGTTAGAAAGTTAAAAAGCTGTAAGGCTACAGTGTTGACTGAGATATTCCCATTTTTTCCACCACAATGGTTTGTTAGCGTTAATTTTTGATTTTCAGAAATCATGTAGGCGCCTTCCGTTTTTGAATACCTAAAACTCATAAGCCTTGAGCAGAGAAAAAGCTAATTTTTTTCTCAAAATCTAGTGAGGCTGAGCCTCGTACGGATAAAACCTCGTGAGGCTCGTACTATCGAGCCTCGCGGCTCCGTCGCCTAATGGTGTGCGTAAAGAAGACTTCTGTTTTCATATGAGAAAATCTTCTACTACTACTTCCCAAAATACACCATCCGTATCCCAAAATGCACCAGAATTACATGAAGTTTTTTCTTAATTTTTTATGTATTTGTTTCCTTGTCATTTCGATCTCATATTGTATTCTATAGATAGCGAGTAAATATACAATCCTCACGAGGGAACCACCCGAGGTGATAAATTGATTTCGGGTTGGGACTATGTTTGTTAGAAAGGCCCTAACGAGCAGTGAAATACTCCAACTTGGTTCATCCCCATGGTGCTTTATTGCTGAGATATTGAATTTTTAGTCAGTTTTTGCCTATGGAGCCTGGATTTCGAGCAAAATCCGACTTTCGAATTTTGACTTTAAACTTGCCCACACTGGTAGCCCGTGGTCATAGTAGTACGACGAAAAAATATTCGATCCTAATGAATTTTTCTGCCTTGAGATATTGAGACTCGAACATTTGACCCTCACCCTCACCTTCAGGTGAAATGTTCGAGTCTCAATATCTCAAGGCAGGAAAATTCATTAGGATCGAATATTTTTTCGTCGTACTACTATGACCACGGGCTACCAGTGTGGGCAAGTTTAAAGTCAAAATTCGAAAGTCGGATTTTCCTCGAAATCCAGGCTTTTCCTTTTAAGCTTTTTGTCTCTTTACTTCAGTTAAAAGTTCCTTGAATCATTCTATAACTTTTTTTGCAGATACAGTAATTGTTCCATCACCCAGAACTTCACCAAACGGAAACTCATCAATAAAGAACAAGTCTTGCAAATGTCTTGATAGTTTTCCATGTGAAGTTATTATTTAATTTTGGTTTTCTTCATCTATTTGAAAAAAGAATCGTTTACCCACAGTTTTTTTAACATGTTTGTTAAGCGCTGTTATTTTCTCATTTAAAATCTTTGTGTGGGCGCTCCATATTGACCGGTGCGCGAAGCATGCCCTAAAATATCTTTTAAGAGCACGTCAAAAATTCTCAGTTTCACGTGCAGTGTATCGAGAACGTAATCTTTATAAGTACACAGCAGATGTAGCGTACAACCGACCAAGACGGCTAATTGAATTGGCCGCAGAGAGGCGCGACAGGCAAAACTCCATTCAAGCTAATAAAATCCTA